CCCACCCCCCACCCCCGGAGTCTGTGGGTCCAACTCCTCCGGCCTCCGGAGCGTTTCCACTCAATACAGAATTGGTCCTTCTGTGCCGGGCTGATCTCACTGAGCACCACGCCCTCCAGCCTCGTCCACGTAGTAGCAGGTGTCGCGATTCCTTTCTTTTTAAGGCCGAATAATGTTCCACGGTGTGGACGGACCACGTCTCGCTTGTCCATTCACCTGTCGGTAGACGCTGGGGCTGCTTCCACCCCTTGGCTGTTGTGAATAATGCTGTGAACATGAGTGTTCAGATCTCTCTTCAGGACCTTTCTTTTTTTAGGGAGGGGAGAGGGGCAGAGGCAGAGGGAGAGGGAGAATCTCAAGCAGACTCCACGCTCAGCACAGAGCCTGACGCAGGGCTCCGTCTCATGACCCTGAGATCACGACCTGAGCCAAAATCCAGAGTCAGACACTTAACCGACTGAGCTGCCCAGATGCCCCTCAAACCTTGCTTTCTTAACTTTGTACTGTTCTTTTTGTGTTAGCCTGGAGGTTACGAGGTCATCCTTGAGTTATTAAGTCGAATAGAAATAAGCATGTTCACCATCTTCTGGGCAATGTAATTATTTACAACACTATACCCTCTGAGATTTTTTTTAAAGATTTTATTTGTTCATTTGCCAGAGCGAGAGAGAGCGCGCACAAGCAGGGGGAGTGGGAGAGGGAGAAGCAGGCTCCCCGCTGACGCAGGACTCGATCCCAGGACCCCGGGATCCTGACCTGAGCCGAAGGCAGACGCTTAACCCACTGAGCCACCCAGGTATCCCTTATGCCCTCTGAGATTTTGTTTTATTTTTGTCATGTATTTTAATTCTAACTATGTCTTATACCCTGCAAGACGAATTGAGGGTGACCAAGGCCGCGGTCCCCAGGGCCTTTGCTCTGCCCTGCCATCACTCCTGCACCATCCGGCTCCTATCAGCAGCGTTTTCCTTCTGGCTGAAGGCGTCCTTTCATATCTTTGTTTAATTGCAGATCCACTGGTGATTAATTCTTTTGGGTTTCATTTGTCTGGAAAGTCCTTATTTAGTCTTTATTTCTAAAATATGAACTTAGGGGGCGCCTGCGTGGCTCATTCGGTGAAGTGTCTGGCTTCAGCTCAGGTCGTGGTCTCGGGGTCCTGGGATCGAGCCCCATGTGAGGCTCCCTGCTCAGTGGGGAGTCTGCTTCTCCCTCTGTTCCTCCCCCTCAGCTTGTACTCTCTCTCTCTCAAATAAATAATCTTTAAAAAAATAAAAATAAAATATGAGCTTAGCTTTGACATGCACTAAAATGGACACAATTTCATTGCCTGCTTTGATGAGTTGGGATAAATGTAGACACCTGTGTAAACACAACTCGATCTAGATGCAGAACATTCCATCATCCCAGAGAGCTCACTGGTGACCATTCACAACTGGTCCTCACCACCCTCTGCCCCGGCAGCCACAGATGGAATTCCAGCTCCGTGGAGGAGTTTGGCCTGATTTGGGATTGCACAGCATGTAGCCTCTCGTGTCTCACACAGGCCTGGGGCCACCCCACCCCGGGTCACTCTCAGGTCAAGGGACGCCCGCATCTACTTTTTTTTTTTTTTAGTAGGCTCAGCACAGAGCCCAACATGGGCCTTGAACTCACAACCCTGAGATCAAGACCCGAGCTGAGATCAAAGTCAGACACTCAACTGACTGAGCCATCCAGGCACCCCCATTCGCTTCTTGACCCACACTGCCCCACTGCAGGTAAAGCCTCCAGCCTGGAGTGGTTCTTTTTTTTTTTTTTAATTTTTTTTTAAAGATTTTTATTTATTCATGAGAGACAGAGGGGAGAGAGAGAGAAGCAGAGGGAGAAGCAGGCTCCCAAGGAGCAAGGAGCCCAATGCGGGACTCAATCCCAGGACCCTGGGATCATGACCTGAGCCGAAGGCAGACGCTTAACCATCTGAGCCACCCAGGCACCCCAGCCTGGAGTGGTTCTGACAGAACAGAGAGAATATGTCACCAAGAGATGCTCCATAAATGGGGCTCCTGGGTGGCTCAGTTGGTCAAGTGCCAACTCTTGGATTCAGCTCGGGTCATGATCCCAGGGTCGTGGAATCGTGGAATCGAACCTGGCATCAGGCTCCCTGCTCAGCGGGGAGCCTGCTTCTCCTCTGTTCCTCCCCCACAGCTTGTGCTCTCTTTCTCTCTCTTCTCAAATGAATAAATAAAATCTTAAAAAAAAAAAAAAAGATGTTCCATAAAGAAAACCCTAAAGGAAGTGCTTCAGGAGAGAATAAAGTGTTCCGGATCTGAGGCCTGCGTTCCAGTGGGAACAAAGGGCACAGAAGGCAATAAGCAGGTGGATCATTTCAAACTCAATCT